TGGCTGCCAGCGGGGGCCCCACTCCCCCCAAAAAAGCCTGCGGGTGCCGCTGTGAGCTCGTCATTTGCTAACTCCCTGTGGTGCCCTGCGGTTTCAGACCAAGCCATATTTGTCACCGTTCGTCTTTTCCTGCCGTGACCCCGCACGCTTCCAGTGTCTGCTCTGTGCAGCCCTCATGCCGCAGCACACCAGCCCCGCCACGTGGAGGGAGACCCAGTCCAGGGTCTGGGGACACTGGAAGGTCCCCGGCCGAGTAGCTCGCTGTCTCACCTGGCCATCGGCCCCCTCCCTGCCCGCTGGAGAAGCCTGTCATCCTGGGGAGGGCGACCCCGTACGGCCATGGCACACGCACTCTTGGACGGCCCCTGGAAGCTGGAAGGGCTCTGCACTCAAGTCTCAGGAGCCCTGCGGGGAGGGGAGGCAGCGCACTTGGCAGGGGACACGGTCCTGGTTTCCCTCCTGACATCCAGGGCTCTGGAACTCACAGTAAATACCGCGAAGCCGGCCTGGAAGCTGGGCCGAGGCCGCGAAAGACCACATGTTCCGCACGTCTAAGGAGGGCGGTGGCTCCGTCCATCATCAACCCTGTGCCCTATACGTCCACAGCACAGCGGTCTTCACAGCCACCCTGGGAAGGGGACGCTCGTTACAACGAAAGACGCTGAGGGCCAGGGAGGTCAGGTAGATTTCCTAAGGTCACACAGCCAGGAGACGGCAGAGTCGGTTTTGCTTTGTTTTATTTTTAAATAACGTACTGAGCTCAAATGCACATACATAAAATCTCCCGTTTTACAGTGACCGGGTCAGTAGCATTCTGGACACCCACGATTCTGCAGCCGAGGCGTTCTAGTTTCAGAACAATTCATCGCTCCAAAGTCAGACTCTGCCATCCTGCCTGCCCGCCGGCCCTAGAGGTTTTCACAGGGCCTGCCGGACCCACCCTCCCACTTCGCCTGCCACCCCCGTTCTGGTGGGACAGGGCCAAGGCGGCGGCCCTGACTCTCCCTTCTTTCCTCAGCTCCCTGCGGGGGCGACCTGACCGGGCCATCGGGAGTCATCCTGTCCCCAAACTACCCAGAGCCCTACCCTCCGGGCAAGGAGTGTGACTGGAAAGTGACCGTCTCCCCAGACTACGTCATCGCCCTGGTCTTTAACACGTATGTACCTTTCCCGGGTGGGGAGGGCTCAGGGCCGCTCAGCGTCAGACGCGGGGTCTCCAGGGGAATGTGCACAGGTCTGCGAGCAGAGTTTGCAAGGGCGAGGGCGGCGAGGAAGTCAGGAAGCAGCAGGACGAGGGCTCGGGGGCACCCCTCATCCTTAAGATGATGCACGAAGCAGACACTATCTTCTCTCTGCTCCTGGGGCTGCCGCCATCGGGAACGAGGCCCTCGCAGGAGCCCTCCTGCACCACCCCCTGCTCCCCGGCTCCCACGGACAAGCCTGGGGACCCCAGGACCCCCCCATCCGGCTCCCGCACGCCCCCTTGCATTCCTTTCACAGCAAGCACCTCACCAGGACCACCTCTGCTTTCCTCCACTTCCTCACCCCTGCCCACGCTCAGCCCCTGGAATCCTCTGGAAACTCCTCTGCTGTACGGCCCCGGTGACTCCTGGGCCACACTTTCCACTTCCCCTACTCCACCTCTTGTCACCGTCCCACGCTGCCTTGTCCCTGGCTTTGGTGAGGTCCTCCTGTCTGGTTCTCCAGCCTCACCTGTGACTTCACTCCTGCCTTGGCCAGGCGTGGTCCCAGGCCCCCTCTTCCCACCCATACCTCCTTCCCGGACAAGCTTATCCACCCTGATGGCTCCAGCCTCCTGCTATAATCAGAGGACTCCACGGTGCCACCCACTCGTACCCAGTATCGGGTCTGTCTGGTGCCTGCAGGCACCTCAAATGAAACATGGATAAAACGAGCGAATAGTCCCCTGGGCAGGCGTGTCCAGGGTAACGGCACCCCTTCCCACTCTCTCTGCCTCTCCCATTAGTGACCAAGGAGTCCCTTCTGCCTGACCCCTCCGGGCGTCTCCCTCTGTCCCCCTACCAGCTGCTGTCTTGGTCTGAGCCTGGGTCCTTTCCCCTCTAAGTGACTGCCACGGTCCCCTAACCGGCTCCTCCGGCCCACCTTGCCTTCCAGCCAGCCCTGTCATTAGCTAGCTGTCGGGAGAGCTTGCCAGTCAGAAACGCTGGAATAACCACCCATTTTCCATGTTAATACCCATGATGCCGGTGCTTAGCAATGCAGAGGCATGGACTCCTGACACGTCGTGCTGTGGGCGAACCCCGGGAACGTTATACTGAGGGAAAGACACAGGCGACTCCCTTACATGAAACTAGTTCATGTGAGATTTTAAGAGCAGCGAAACCAGCCCATGGTGGGAAAATCCAGTGACTGCCGGCAACTGGCGTGGGGAATTCGGCTGGGAGGGGCACTGGGAAAGTTCCGGGTCTGGTGTGCAGTGGCGAGAGGCAGTCTGAGAGCCGATCATTTCAGCGCGTAAGCTACACCTTGACTTAGAAATAAGGACGTGAGCAAGTAGACCCTTACTTTGAGATCCTACAATGGCTCCCACTTTCCTATAAATAAAAATCCAGACTTCTGAGTTTCATTCCAAATGCCCGCTCTGCAGTCAGTCTCATGTCCTAAGCTCCAGCCAGACTGAGCCTCTCATGGTGCCTGCGTCTCTCAGACTCTTCCATGCCCTTGGGACTTTGTCCCTGCCCCTCACTTCACAGTGACTGCTTGTCCCTTCTCATCCAACCAGAGGGTCGTCTCATCTCCCAAGACCCAGCTCGAGCTTGAGTTCCTCCCTAAGAGCTTGGTTTTCCTCCTCCGCGAGGGGAGGACTCCGCTCCTATCTGCCATGTGCAGACTGTATGCGCCCCTTCGTGGTTTGCACGTCCATTGCTTCCTGCAACGCCGTCAGCTCCTTGAAGGCAGGGACGGTGTCTGGTCAACCCCGTGTCCTTGGCACCTTGCCCAATGACTGCCTTACCGAAGGTACTCAGATAAACTTTGATAACCTTAGGATGGTAAGGAATGGTAGAACATTAATACGTGATCAAGACTGACGCTCTAAAACCCTTCCCTGGTGACTTTCGGAAAAGCAGATGGCTAGAAGTTGAATCCTAGGGGCAAGAAGACCATGTTGTCCAACAATGGTGGGTGGCCCCACAGCTGACACCAGTGAGGGGGTACCAGGCAGAGCGAGGTCAGTGCACATCGGGCTCTATGACCTTTGCCCCCAGACCTCCACCTGTCTCTCTGCCAGCCTCACCTCCTTTGTTCTAGAGATGTGGCCCCCTCTCTCCACCACAGGTCTAAGCCGAGGGGTGGACCAGCTGGCTCATTCTCAGTTGAGCCAAAGGCCTCTCCGAGTGTCCCAGCCTAGCACGGGCATGAATAAATTGCATCGGAAACCCGCCCTCTGCAAGCCCGTTTACGCCTCCTTTGTTTTCATCTTTGGCTGCTTGGTCGATGTGGGTCTCCTTTGCTGGACTCAGACTTCAGGGTGGGATGTTTCGGGATCTCTGCGTCATGGACAGGCGTATGCTCAGACTTCATAGCTGCCGTGGAACAGTTTTCCAAAGTGGCTGAGCCAGTTTCCGCTCCTGCCGGCAGGGCCCGAGAGCCCCGGGGGCTCCCCGTTCTTGCCTGTCGGCGCATCTCCCATCGTTTTCACAGCCATTCCAGTGCGATCAATTACACGCGTGAACTCCAGTCTTCACCTTGCCAATGAGGGTCATCTTTATAATGCATTCCTCCCCCACCAGGGTCAGGAGAGCTGAGAGAGGCGTGTCTGTGGGTGCTCGGAGCAGGGTGGTGGCCAGTCCCGAGGGGCTGGAGAGAGCTCCAGGATGAGCGGATGAAGCGGGGGCCCTTTGTGGCCACAGGCCCCTCCCTCCCTGGGAATGACTCCCAGGTGGCCTTTCCCTCCTGGAAAGAAGGTGCAAAATAGCGTGGCATAAGAACCCCTGGAGGTGGGTACCAGGCCTGGGTTGTGCCCACCCTGACTGACCCCATGGTACCTCACGCTGCCTTCTGTGTAAGGGTCTGTGGTCTTCAGCCCCAGGTTTTTGGACACAGACTGCATTCTGATTCTTCTCCCCCTTGAGTCTCCGTATCCATTCCTCACCCAACCGGGAGGTCAGTGGGGCTTCATCCCGTTCCTCCCTGCCAGCCGGTCCTCAGGGGCTGGGTAACAGGGGTGGGGGGCTTGGTATCTGGGAGGCCCCATCCTTCCACTGAGCTTCGTTTTGACCTTAGTGGGTGGGGGGCTGTTTCTGTCCCCTAGCTTTAACCTGGAGCCCGGCTATGACTTCCTCCATATCTACGACGGACAGGACTCTCTCAGCCCGCTCATAGGAAGCTTCTACGGCTCCCAGCTCCCAGGCCGCATCGAAAACAGCAGCAACAGCCTATTCCTTGCCTTCCGCAGCGACGCCTCTGTGAGCAATGCGGGCTTCGTCATCGACTACACAGGTAGGGCTCTGGGGCCGGCCAGACCGCGTGTGCGCACGTGTGCGTGTGTGCGTGTGTGCGGGGGACTGGGCAGTGTGGAGTAGTGAGGAGAGCGCGGCCCGACCACGGGGAGCTCTGCGGATTCCAGCTCCACCGCCACCTGCAGACCACCTGCCTGTCCTGTGACCTCCTGCTGGCTCAGCCTTTCACACCCATGTGCCCGGGTTAGCATTCTTCTGGGCACCCCATTTCAATTTCTGGATCGTATTATAACTCCTCTTCTTTTTCTAAGAGGGC